TAGGAACTGGGAGAACCTATTTCTTTGCTCTTTCTAGCTCCTGGAGGTGCTTACATGCCTTGACTCGCTGCCACTTCTCCGTCTTCCAAGCCAGGAGTGTATAATCTTCCAATCTCTCTGACTCTGACCTCCCGCTTCCTCTTATAAGGACCCTCGTGATTATCTGGTGTGCAGCCAGATGATCCAGGGCAATCTCCTCATCTCAAGATCTATAACTTAACTATACCTGCAAAGTCCCTTTTGCCATGGAAGGTCACATATACACAGGTTCTGGACACTAGGATGTGGCAGGAGGACAGGGACCATTATTTAGCCAACTGCAGTAGCCAAGGAGTGGAATAATCTTAATGGTCAGCATGGGTCCTGTGAGCCCTCAGGGCCCACCTCATCCAAATCTTAAGACTGGAGCAGGATTAGAGTGGAAAGAGACGTAGAGACTCTAGGAGGCTGCTGGGCCAGCTTCCAGAAGCCCCAACTAGGTCAAGAGGCCATGACATCTACTAGGCACCTCATAGTGGCATCATGCAGAGCAATGACACAGAGGGACCCTGCCTGGACTATGGGTGGGCTCCACCTCTTACCTCTCTGCACCTGTTTGTCACCAGTTCTCTCCCTGGTATTAGTTATGTGCCCAGGACAGCACCTAAAACAGGGCAATGCCTTCTTTCCCTTCCTTTTGCATGTCAGTGATGTGAACCAACAGTTTCTTTTCTCAGTAGTTGAACAGTCTTTTCTGGTTTCTTTTTCTTTCTTTTTTTTTTTAGAGACAGGGTTTTGCTCTGTTGCCCAGGCTGGAGTGCAGTGGTGCGATGTTGGCTCACAGCAGCCTCGAACTGTGCTCGAGCAATCCTCCTGCCTCTGCCTCTCAAGTAGCTGGGACTACAGATGTGTGCCACCACCATGCCTGACTAATTTTTAAATTTTTTGTAGACATGGGGTCTTTCTATGTTGCCCAGGCTGGTTTCGAACTCCTGGGCTCAGGGAATCCTCCTGCCTTGGCCTCCTGAAGTGCTAGAATTATAGGTGTGAGCCACTGCAGCTGGCCTCTCCCAATTTCTGTTATGCTTTCTTCAGATTTTCACTTCTGTGCATTGATAGTCAATATGTGGATTCACAAATAAGTTTCAGAGCAATGAGGATTTGGAGTAAAGTAGAAACATGCTGCTTGGTTGGCCACATCATTCTGGGGCAAGCTCAGGGATTCAGCCCGTTGGAGGCAAAAGCCTTCCCTGCGCTGAACCAGTTTTTATTCCACTCAACACACCCCAGATGAAAATATTTTGGCTCAGGAGAGCAGTGCAATTACTCATGGCCTCATTTCCCTCCTTCTGTGGGAGTGGAAGCCAACATCAGATGATTTAAAACAAAGCAAAGGAAAAACCACGTTTTTGACATCAGGGCTAATTTCCCTGAATGTAAATGCTATTGTACCAAAGAAAAAATGAAAACAGCTTGACCAGCCCTGGAATTAATTTATTTCTGTGTCCCAAATGCATAGCACTTGGCAGAAAGAGCAAGGTATTTGGATGTCTGCTCCCACAGTGGCTATTTGCTGATTTACGTGGGGGAAATGCCTTGCATATCAAGACAATCCATCATCATCGTCATCGTCACTGTCATTGTTATTATCATCATTATCAGTGTCATCATCATTGTCATCATTGTCATCAATGTCATCATTGTCATCATTGTCATTGTCATCATTCTCAATGTCATCATTGTCATCATCATTGTCATAGTCATCATCATAATTGTCATTGTTATTTTCTTTTTCTTTTTTTTTTTTTTTTTGAGACGGAGTCTCGCTCTGTCGCCCAGGCTGGAGTGCAGTGGCGCGATCTCAGCTCACTGCAAGCTCCGCCTCCCGGGTTCACGCCATGCTCCTGCCTCAGCCTCCCGAGTAGCTGGGACTACAGGCGCCCGCCAACTCACCCGGCTAGTTTTTTGTATTTTTTAGTAGAGACGGGGTTTCACTGTGTTAGCCAGGATGGTCTCGATCTCCTGACCTCGTGATCCGCCCGTCTCGGCCTCCCAAAGTGCTGGGATTACAGGCTTGAGCCACCACGCCTGGCCCATAATTGTCATTGTTATTTTCATCATCATTGTCATTGTTGTCATTACTGTTATTGACATCATCATTGTTATTGTCATCATTGTCAATGTCATCATCACCATCATTGTCATAGTCATCATTGTCATTGTTATCATTTTTTCATCATCATCATTGTCATTGCTGTCATTACTGTTATCATCATTGACATCATCATCATTGTTGTCATCATTGTCAATGTCATCATCATCATTGTCATAGTCATCATCATCATTGTCATCATTGTCATTATGCCATCATCATCATCGCCATTGTTGTCATCATCATTGTCATAGCCATCGTCATCATTGTCATCATCATCACTATCTATCATCAACGTCATTGAGGCCATCACACCTGTCACCGCAGTGAGGGTCAGGCCAGGAAATGCACCCAAGGGTTTCCTGTGCTGTCAAGTGCCCCTCATGTCTCAGGCTCTGTTGCAAATTAGAAAGTAAAAAGTCAAATTATTCTTATTTGCAGACCGTATGATCTTATATATAGAAAATCCTAAAGACGCTACCAAAAATCTTTTAGAATTGATGAATGAATTTAGTAAAGATAAAAAATTAACATATAAGATCAGTAGCGTTGCTATACATGAACAATGAAATAGCTAAAAGGGAAATCAAGAAGATAATGCCATTTATAATAGCTACAGAAAATGAAATACCTAGGAATAAATTTAAGAAGTGACTGACAAAAAACTGAAGAGGAGAAAAACAAATGGAATGACATCCCATACTCATGGATCCAAAAATATTGTTAAAATGATCGTAGTACCTAAAGTAATCTACAGATTAAACACAACCCCTACCAAAATACCAAGGACACTCTTCACTGAATTACAAAAATGTTTAACTTTGTACAGAACCAGAAGAAACTCTGAATAGCCAAAACAATCCTGAGCAAAAGCACAAAGCTGGCATTATAACACTTCAAAATATACTACAGAACTGTAGTAACCAAAGCCTCTTCCATCCCTGCATGTCGAGGATGAACAGAAATGAATAGGCAGCCGATGCCTGGCCTTCCAGAAGTAACGGGCTGGCTGCAGATACACAGTCAGCATGCAGACAGACGGGACACCAGCAGATATTCCAGAGAGGAAGGTTATGAAGCCCCCCACATGAGAGACCAGGTGGGTTCAAAAGCCATCCAGCCATATCAGCTGAGCATGCGGTACTCAGAGGGGGAGTGTGGGCCTGACGTGGAGACGTGGGACAGGGGCCTGCAGAGATGACGGCAGCTCCATGTGACGAGGGCGTGACGTGGCTGCGGCAAACTGACCGATGTTTCTGGACAGCAATTTGGCAAAATGTTTAAGGAGCCTTTAAAAATTCTTGCTCTTCCAACTAGTCATTCGAAGGAGGTGATGGAAAGGGGCTGATCCAAAATGCAGGAAAAAGAGGGATGACGAAGGAGATTATCCCGGGGTTGCTGATGGTGCCAAAAAAAAAAAAAAAATAGGACCTACAGGCTCCACAGAGGATTCATAGCAGGTGTGGCAGATGACATTAGAAGGAAAACATTTCCATCGAATACTCCATAACATGCAAATGGCTATAAGGTTCCACTGAAAAGTCTAGCACAAAACCACATATACTGTAATATATGTAGTGAGAGACGCCCTGGTGGCCCACTGAGTTGCACCTCATACAGCTGTTCACAGAGGCACTAGATGAAGGGAGACCCCTCTGTTTTCTGTGCCGACTATCAGGGTCGATAGCTGAATATTGACAAAGTTTACCTCTGATTAGCAGGATTTGGAAAGGGTTTTTTCTTCACGGTTTTCTCTATTTTCCACAATGAGCCTGTATTCTTTCTTTATTGAAAAAAGATCCAGAAGTCACTTATAAAATGAAGAAAACATTTGTCATGACAAATATTTAGTCACAATGCAATATTCAAAAAAGAAAATTGACTCATTCATTTTTGAGGGTAGTCGATTTTTAAAAAACCTATACACTGCATAAAAGTAGGTTGAAAACAGGCTGGGCACCGTGACTCACGCCTGTAATCCTGGAACTTTGGGAGGCCGAGGTGTGCGGATCACCTGAGGTCAGGAGTTTGAGACCAGGCTGGTCAACATGGCGAAACCCTGTCTCTACTAAAAATACAAAAAATTGACCCAGTGTGGTGGCTCACACTTGTAATCCCAGCTACTCAGGAGGCTGAGGCAGGAGAATCCCTTAAACTTGAGAGGCAGAGGTTACAGTGAGCCAAGATCATGCCACTGCACTCCAGCCTGGGTGACAGAGTGAGACTTTGTCTAAGAAAAAGTAGGTTGAAAACAGAAATGCTAAAATATCAGAGGGGTGACCACGGGTGGGGACCTCAGGTGATTCTGATGTTCTGTATCTTTCTGCATGTTTTCTAAACTTGCAAAAACATGGAAAATGTTCTCTGGAAGCAAAGCAGAGGGAGAGAATGGTTTCAACCAGGGCCGGAGGCCAGTGAAGCCTCCCGGATGAGGTGGCGTTGAAGCTGGAAGTCAGGAATCTGGCTGGGACCACAGCTTGCAGACCACCCAGGGCCCAGCTCCTCTTGGGGTCTCCCCTCCCACGAAGGGGAGAAGGGCTGCTTCAGAGAAGTGGCTGCGAAACAGGTGTCAGAATTTGCTAGAAACAGGTGGAGGCCAAAGCCTTAGTGCAGGACCCTCCTAATCCTCCCTTCTCCAGGGCAGCCATGTGCAAATGGTCATCGGAAAGGATCCCCTTCCAGCAAACTGCACACAGCATCCTGGAAGTGGCTCTTGCCCGCCCAGGGCCCAGCTCTGGGTGTGGGGGGCCACCCACACTGCCCTGGGCCCCCAGGCGCTATGAACCCTGATCCTAACGCCCAGCACAGCGCCTGCCCCAGGGACCAGTGCCATGCAGTGGCGTGGGTAACCGTGTGTTCTCTTCCACAGCCTCACCGCCATGGACAGTGTGCCCCTCATCTGTGACTACGGCTCTGGCTTCAGCAAGGTGGGATTCGCAGGAATGGAAAGCCCAATGGGCGTGTTCCCCACTGTCCTCGGGAAACTTCGGCACGATGTGAGTGATGTCGGGGTCTCCTCCCTGTGGGGTGCTGCTCATCCAGAGGTGGCCTGCTGGCCCGGTCAGTCCCATCGCCTCTCCCACAGGGTGACCAAGGCAATCCCCTGAGCAGGGCGTGGTGGGCGCGAACGTGCCTCCACAAATCCAAGTTGGGAGCACCAGGCTTGGTACCACACAGATGGCCGGGCCACCTAGAGTCTCTGCCTCAGCCGGTCCGGGGTTGGGGATGGGGTGGGAAAGGCCTTGCCCCTCTCACGACTCCCAGCATGCGGCCCGCTCTGAGAACCACAGGCTTAGAGGGAGCAGTGATGTGTAAATCAGTAAAGTGGACACGTTGTGAAAAGTCAGTCTTACTGCCCGTCTCCCATCTCTGGCTCTTCCCACCTTCGGAGAGGTATGGACGCAGGGAAGGAGCAATTCCCCTTTAGGATAAATGGGAGTCCATTAGGGTGAGCGGCAACGGACACTCAGCCTCTGTGACAGGAAGGCAGTAGGAGGGAGGGTGGGGACCGGGGCACAGGCCCTCCAAGAGGTCCGTCTCTGACATGCCAGCAAGTGGACCCCACATTGCCAGATCTTCCTGCGTTTCAAGGGAATTTAGAAACGCAGGCGTTTCTATTGTGGTAAAGTATACACAATGTAAAGATGTGTTAACTGTACAGTTCAGTGGCATCAAGAACATTCACCACCATCTATCTCCAGAACGTTCTCATCCTCCCAAACAGAAGCTCTGGCCCCATTAAAAACCAGCTGCTCATCCCCTGCCCTGGACAACACAGTCGCATCGTAAACGAAACTCGGCGAGCGGGCCTTAGCCCGGCCACATTCCCGGTAAACGAAACTCGGCAAGCGGGCCTGAGCCCGGCCACATTCCCGGTAAACGAAACTCGGCGAGCGGGCCTGAGCCCGGCCACATTCCCGGTAAACGAAACTCGGCCAGCGGGCCTGAGCCTGGCCACATTCCCGGTAAACGAAACTCGGCGAGCGGGCCTGAGCCCGGCCACATTCCCGGTAGGGAGGAAGATGCCCTTCTCCCCGAAGAGGAACCACCTGCTCCGAGAGGTGACTTCTCGAATCCACGTGGTGACAAAGTGGTGGTGACAAGACCCCCAGTGCACCTGCGTTCCCAGCCCATGCTCTGGATCGTGGAGCTCATCCTCCGGAAGTTCCAGTCATCCGTGGCAGGGAGCAGCGTCGTGACACGGAAGATCTCAGGTGTCACAGGACCTCATGGCGATCACTCTTGTGTTTTGCAGTGCTTGGAGCAAATTATTGGCAATGTTTCTAATTATCCAAGATACACTGGCTCCCAGAGCTGTGACAGAGGAGAAAATCCCATCTCCCTCTCTAAGAGGATGAAATGCACATGGCTCCTGGGAACCAGTGGATTTCCTCCTCGCTGTCCAAGTGGCAGGCATCATAGCAGGGACCGCCCTGGCAAATCGCAGGCGCCTGCACTCGAGCTAGACAACCAGCTTACCGCTTGGAGATTGTGGTGCTCAGTGGTTAACAGCTGGGGCTGCAGGGCCGGGGAGACTGAGGCTCCAATCTCAGTCCTGTCCTCAGCACATGCATGACTCAGGGCAAGGGTGCTGCTGTGGCAGAGGTATCTCTTTTACATAATATGATTGTCCTCATAGATGTATCTCATAGATTCAGCCTGAAGGTTAAGTGAGATGAGTGAATGCATGTTTGGTGCAGTTTCTGGCCCATGGGGAAGATTTAGCAATGACAACGATGGCAGTGATGATAATAATGACTAGCATATTCGTGTATTTGCTTAGAACAACAGAAATGTAGCCAGGCTCAGTGGGTCACGCCTGTAATCCCAGCACTTTGGGAGGCTGAGGTGGGTGGATCACCTGAGGTCAGGAGTTTGAGACCAGCCTGGCCAACATGGCAAAACCCTGTCTCTACTAAAAATATAAAAATTAGCTGGGTGTGGTGGTGTGCACCTGTAATTCCAGCTACTCTGGAGGCTGAGGCAGGAGAATCGCTTGAACCCGGGAGGCAGAGGCTGCAGTGAGCTGAGATCACACCACTGCACTCCAGCCTGGGTGGCAGAGTGAGAATTCATCTAAAAAAAAAAAAAAGAAAGAAAAACAGAAATATATTTTCTTATAGTTCTGGGACCTGGAGTCTGAAAGCAAGGTGTCAGTAGGGCTGGCTTCCTCCCAAGGCTGTAGCGGGGGGATCTTTCCTGCCGCTTCCAGCTCCTGGGGGCTCCAGGCATCCCTTGGCTGCCTCTGTCTTCACATGGCCTCCTTCTCTTTTTCCTTTTCTGTCTCAAATCTCCTCCTGCCTCTCTCTTAGAAGGACACTTGTCGTTGGATTTGGGGCCCATCCAGGTAATCCAAGGTGATGCTCATCTTGAGATTCTTAACTATCACTTCTGCAAAGACATTTTATCCAGATGAGGTCACCTGAGACTCCAGGTGGACATAATGGTGGCGGGGGCCGGGGGGCATCATTCAACCCACTGCAGTTACAATGTGGAATTTCATCTCAGCTCTCAGCCCCTGCTCCAGGGAAGGGGCCTTATCCTTGGAGTATGATTGACTTAGAGGGGGTGCATTAGGGAGCGTCTGCTGAGAGCGAGGCTCTCCCCTCTGAATCCACCCCAGCTAGGCTGTAGGCACAGTCATTGTCTCCCATCACCCCCAGATGAGACTGTCCTAGTTGCAGGAAAACAGGCTCCGGGATCCCACTGATTCTATGTTGTGGTGAGTTATATAATTATTTCATTATATGTTACAATGTAATAATAGTAGAAATAAAGCACACAATAAATGTAATACACTTGAATCATCCCAAAACCATCCCCTGCCCTGCTCAGTGCAAAAATTGTCTTCCATGAAACTGGTCCCTGGTGCCAAAAAGGTTGGGGAACGCTGACCTAGATGGCGAAACACGAGATCACAGCAAGAGGAAAATTCTTCGCCAAAACAGAATGAGTGACCAAGATGAATTATGGAGCAGCAGACTCTTCCGCGGAACCACAGCAGATTGGCTCTTGATCTGGATTTATTTTCACGGGCAGATGGGAGTAAGTTTCTATCTCTGAGAGAGGTCACCTTTTGTCCTAGATGTAAGCTCCATGGCCCTTCCCACAAGCTCGACGCAGTGCCCTTAACTCCCAAGTCAAGAAGTCACAGCCACGGAGACCCAGGGTGTCCCTCGGGGCTCCCCCAACCCCACGCCCCTTCCAGGGCTTGAGTCTGGCAGCCAAGACGGCAGTGAGACCCCTCCTAGGAGGACTTGTGAGAACAGAGAGGCAGGATGAAGGCGTTGCCCAAAGTCATTGGGTCCCTTCTGAGTAGAGCAGCCGCTCTGACCCACAGGCCTCCTGACAAAAGGACACCAGGCCCAGCACTGTCCATCTTTTTATTTCAAACAGCAACTTCGAACCGGAAAAAACATTGTTCCTTCTGCACACCCATGACTTTGTCCACCACCCACCCACCGCACTTAGATGTGGTGGCTGAGAAACGTTCGAGGAGGTGGCCGCAGTGACAGTCCCTCCTACCATGAAGCCAGCTTATGAAACGCATTCCTGCTGGTGGGCTTAATCGACTTGATCCTCCAGCAGCGCCATGGCGAGGTGTGAGGAAGAGAGGTCATTGTTCCCATTGGACAGAGAAGAAGTTGGAGGCTCAGAGAAGGAGATAGAGGCTCAGAGAAGGAGATGGAGGCTCCGAGAAGGAGATAGAGGCTTAGAGAAGGAGATAGAGGCTCAGAGAAGGAGATGGAGGCTTAGAGAAGGAGATAGAGGCTCAGAGAAGGAAATGGAGGCTCCAAGAAGGAGATGGAGGCTCAGAGAAGAAGATGGAGGCTCAGAGAAGGAGGTAGAGGCTCAGAGAAGGAGATGGAGGCTCAGAGAAGAAGATGGAGGCTCAGAGAAGGAGATGGAGGCTCTGAGAAGAAGAGGGAGGCTCAGAGAAGGAAATGGAGGCTCAGAGAAGGAGATGGAGGCTCCGAGAAGATGGAGGCTCAGAGAAGGGACACAACTTTCCCCAGGTCTCATAGCTGGTGATTCTCATCCCAAGTCCAAACCTCTTCTGCGGAAGAGACAAACTCCTAAGATAGAAAAGCTCTGTGCAGGTGAGCTGTGGCAGCCTGGAGAGGGGGCCTCACTCTGAAATCACTGCTCCATTGCATCTCTGCACCATTGCACTCTTGCACCCGGCATCATGGCACCACTGACCCACTGCACCATGGCATGGTTCCACCACATGCACCATTGCACCGTGGCACCATGAGGTCATTGCAGCATGGCACCATTATGTCACTGTGGCACAGCACCATTGCACTAAGGCCATCCTTCCTACTTGCTGCTCCCAGCCAACAACGGAGGATGGCAGTGACACCAAGGCAAGTCAAGCCCATTTCTGGGAAACCCAGCACTCCTGTGATAAATGAGCCTGGCTCAAGGACTCTCCAACAACCTTGCAAAGCCTTCCCTTAGACACCATGGTGGCTAAGGTCACCCACCCAATCTGCTTCCCTGTTTCCTGCACCCAGGCTCAGACTTGGACAGCAGCCTGTTGTCTTGTCGATCTTCATCCTGCTCTCACCCCACTGTCCCCCTTGTGTGCGCATTCCCTAATCACATCCTTGCACCTTTCATTCCATCCTGGTGTCTGTTTCTCAGTGGACCCAGATGAACACATGGGCCATCAAGTAAAATCACCTCTGAATGATGGAATGGATAGCTGAATCTGCCATGAAAGTAGCCAGGTTTATCTTCCTAAAAACTAACAGCAGTTGAATTACATCACAGACCCTTTCCCGGTCAACCTTCCAAAGCAAATATGGAAGCAGTGACGATCCCTCCTACCACGATGTCAGCTTATGAAATGCATTCCTGCCAGTGGGCTTCATCGACTTGACCCTCCAGCAGTACCGTGGCATTCCTGGTGCATCTCCCCACACCTCTCCTTCCTCAGCAGCCTCTCTCCTTGCTGTCCCCAGTTTCCTCATCTACAAATTGGACAGGATGAAGTTCCTAGGAACGACTCCCCGGGTGCACTCTTACCTTGCAGGTACTTTGCTAAAACCTCTTAGCGGCCATTTCTGAAACAGCTGACAGGGCTTGGGGAGGTCGTGGATGCCAGTGCTATGACTTGGAGTCTCCCACGAAGGCCACTGTGGCCTCCCAGCCGCGGCTCACTGGGTCTCCACAAATGAAAGCCAGCTGCAGGGGAGTCCAACCCCAGTCACCCCTAGAAGCTGACCTGTCCTTGCCTATGTCTTTCAGAACGTATTGGTGGGGATGGAAGAGGAAGACTGGTTCATTGGAGAGGAGGTTCAGAAAAATCGAGGGAAACTCATCCTGCAATATCCCATTTCTCGAGCAACGATGACCAACTGGGACAACATGGAGAAGGTGGGCACAGCTTCTGCCAGGCAGGACGAGTTCATAGGCCTCCCTTGTCATGTCCAACTATGAGACGGGGGTGCAGGCCTTCCTGACCCAGACTCTGCTCTGAGGGCTGAGGGGGATGATGGATAAAAAGTCCTCAGTCCTGGCTGGGCGCGATGGCTCGTGGCTGTAATCCCAGCACTTTAGGAGGCCGAGGCAGGTGGACCGCTTGAGTGCAGGAGTTTGAGTCCAACCTGGGAAACAGAGTGAGAACTCATGTCTGCAAAAAATTAAAAAATAATCTGGCTGTGGTGGTGTGCTGCTGTGATCCCAGCTACTGGGGAGGCTGAGGTGGGAGGATTGCTCGAGCCTGGGAGGTGGAGGCTGCAGTGAGCTGTGACTCCACCCCTGTGCTCCAGCCTGGGCGATGGAAGAAGACCTTGTCTCAAAGCAGACAGACAGAAAGCAAAAGAGTCTTCAGTCCCAACAGTAAAGAGTGGTAAGTATAGTGAACTTGCAGCTCCCTCACTTAGTAACAGGTTCTGGCTAGGGCCTCCATGTGCATTTGGACAGGCCGTGTACTGCCTTAGAGGATGTACCTGTTAGTTACTGTGTCCCTGTTCCAGCCACAGACAAGGCAGCTTCAACAGCAGGAATTCATTGCCTCACCATCCTGGAGGCTGGAAGTCTAAGGTCAAGGCGTGGGCCAAGCTGGTTCCTTGCAGGGCCGTGCAAGTCCTGGGCCTCCCCACTGGTGACTGTCAGTCTTTGGCTCACAGATGTGTCACCCCGATGTCTGCCTTCAGGTTCACGTGGCGTTCTCCGTGTCTGTGTCCACATTTCCTCCTTCCTGTGGGATTGGGGACCCACCCTCCTCTTAACTGATGGCATCTGCAACAACCTTGTTTCCAAATAAGGTCCCATTCAGACGTACGGGGGCTAAGACTTCAAACTATGAGTTTTGGTGTGACACAGTTCAACTCATCACAATGTTCTAATGCTGCCTTCACACATTTAGCCCCAAATGTGGAGTCTCAAAATGCCAACGGTCATCTCTCTCAGTTTTGTGGGCAGGAATCTGGGAGTGACTCCTCAGGCTGGTTCGGGCTCGGGGTCTCAAGTGGCTGCCATAGCTCAGGGGCTGTGTCGGCTGCAGGCTTGACTGGGGCTGGAGGAGCCCCTTCCAAGGCGGCAGTATCAGGTGGCCGCAGGGTGCTTCCTCTGCACGGGGGTCACCCTCCAGGGCTGCTCAGTGGCCTGCCAGCCTGGCGGTTGGTTTCCCCCATGGGGAACTATGGAAAAGGCCAAGGTAGAGGCACCAGGTCACTGTTACTTCTGCCACATTCTGTTGGTCACAGAAGCCAGTCCTGATTCCATGTGGGAAAGGTGTGCACAGGGCATGACTTCCAGGGGCTGAGGGCCTTGGGGCCATCTTGGTGGGGGCAGTGGGAGCACTGTTCACAAGTGTTTTCTCCTGCACAGCTGTGGCTGTGGCTCCCAGTGTGACAGGGAATGCAGAAACACGGGCCGTGTAGACAGGTCTTGGAGAGCACAGCTTCAGCTATGGGCCCCAGCGGCCCCCCACCCTCTGCTGCCTTGGGTGGGGCTCACCTGCCTGAGGGAGCCCAAGGCACTGACTTCTGTGTGGCTTCAGGGGTCCTGGCTCCTGGCTTCCCCATCTTCCCTGAATTGCCAGTGTCACGCAGTGACCGTCTGCTGTGCCCACGCCTCCCACCTCCTCTCTCTCATCATCCCGCCCCATCTTCAGGAGACTCTTCCAAGCTCGTGTCTGGCTGTGTCCCTTCCCTGCCTCAGGCTGGTCATCTGCGGATGGGCCACACCTGCCACTGACACCTGGCTCTTGCTCTTTCATAGGGATTGTGGCCTCATGCTTCCGGGTTCTGTGCCTGCCTGCAGGAGGCTGCCCCTCCACACTGTCCTCCCCCAGGGGCACGTCCCCGTACGGGGACGGGCAGCAGACTCACACCTGGTAACCAACCGTGGTGTACTGAGCCCCTACTGTACCGGATATGAGGGGCTGAGCCTACTGTACCGGATGTGAGGGGCTGAACTGTGTCCCCAACGTTTACATGTGAAACGCTAGCCTCCGATGCCTCGGAGTGTGACCGTGCTTGGAGATAGCAGCTTTAAAGCTGCAACTAGGTTAAGAAGAGATCATTAGGGTGGGCTCTAATCCAATGTAAGTGAGGCCTTATCAGAAGAGGAGGTTAGATGCAGACACACAGCGGGGGACCCTGTGAGGACGCGACCAGGAGAAGACAGTGCCTGCTGCAAGCCGAGGAGCGAGGCCTGGGGAGGAACCCGCCCTGCAGCGCCTTCATCTGGGACTCCAGCCTCCAGCATGGGAGAGAGTGAGTGTCTGCGGTGCGAGGCACCCCGTCTCTGGAGCTTTGTGATGGCAACTGTGGGACATGAATGCTCCAGGCTTCTCGGCGAGGTCACGATTTCACTGTTACACTCCTCTGTGAGGCAGGGAACATTTCCTGTTTGGAGCATGAGGAATGAGGTTCACAGAGTCAGGTCGCTTGTCCAGGGCTGGCCTGGTGTGTGGTGGAGCTTCCGTGCATGCTGGGCTCACACCTGCACTCTCTCCCCGTGCGGCATCCACCCATCTGAGTCCCAGTCTGTGTCACACCCTTGAAGTCCTGGTGGTGGTATCTGTCCTCATTAGACCACATGATGCTGTAGCCAATCTCCGGGCCTCACTGGTCTCAGCCCCACGTCCTAGCCCCAGGCCCGGTGACTGAGCAGAGGTTCTGCGTCTTGCTGAAGCTGCCTCCCTGCTCCTCCCTCAGATCAGGTTGACCTCGTGTCACTCAGCCGTCACGAGTGCTATTTAAAATGCTGCTTTGACGGCCGGGCGCAGTGGCTCACACCTGTAATCCCAGCACTTTGGGAGGCCGAGGTGGGTGGATCACCTGAGGTCAGGAGTTCAAGACCAGCCTGGCCAACATGGCAAAATTCTGTCTCTACCGTAAACACAACAATTAGCCGGGCGCGGTGGTGGGCGCCTGTAGTCCCAGCTACTCGGGAGGCTGAGGCGGGAGAATCACTGCAACCTGGGAGGTGGAGGTTGCAGTGAGCCGAGATTGCACCACTGCACTCCAGCCTGGACGACAGAGCAAGACACTGTCTCAAAAAATAGAAATAATAAAAATAAAACACTGCTTTGTCAAACAAATAACATAACATAAAATAACATAAAATAACAGAACATGAAGCCCTGCCCGGTCCTGCAGCCGTGCCCTGCTCCGTTTGCAGAAGCCTGGCCTTGGCCCCAGGAAGCCGCTGACTGCATCTTGTCTCCTCCTAGATTTGGCATCACTCCTTCTACCAGGTGCTCCACGTCGCCCCAGAGCAGCACCCCGTGTTGGTGACGGAGCCGCCTTTGAACCCAACACCCAGCAAACAGAAAGTCACACAGGTACCGGGGTCAGTGGTGGTGAGGGCCTCGGCGGGGCCGGTGGCGGTGGGGGCCTGGGCGGGGCCGATGGCGGTGGGGGCCTCGGCGGGATCAGTGGTGGTGAGGGCCTCAGGGCGGGGTCAGCGTCTGGTCTCCCCCGAGCTGGGGGCAACCTCGGCCTCACCTGCCCCTTGCTTGGCAAGAGGAGGACGCTGGGCAGGAGACGCCCCCTCAACACTCATGCCAAGCACGCCGGCCTCCGCCAGGGCGCTGGCTAGGGGCCAGAAACTGCATACACGTGACTTCATGCAGGCCTTCCAACCAGCCATGGGGCAGTTGACCATCCTCCCCTTTGTATATATGAAGAGCCTGCGGCAGCAGGGAGCTTAAGCAGTTTGGCAAAGGTCATGCGGAGTGTCGCTGGTGGGCTTACCTAGACCCCGGTGGTCTCGCCCTGCAACTCCACTCTCAGCCACAATTCAATTGTCCTATGTGCAGGTCTGATTCTGGTTTAAAACCTCCCAGGTCTCTTCTCTGAGCTTCCTCTTGGGCCTGCCCACCAGAGAGGAGGTGCTGGTGTGTGCTGACAGGGTGGCCCTGATGGGACTGGGCAATGGGGCCCGGCAGGGGCCTGGGCTAGAGAAGAGAGGAAGGTGTGGCACTCTCCTTAAGGCCGGGGTGGGGGCTGCAGGGCCGCCACTGGCCACCATGCTCCCATCACATCATTAGCTGCTCCTAATGAGGACATCGGTGAGCTCATTAAGCGAGCAGCATGGTTCCACCACCTGGCCCAGAGTCCCTGGAGCCCAGCGGTTTCTCCCGAGGTGAGCCGTGACCCACGGACAGGGCTGGGGCTCGCGGCACCACCTGCTCGCTGCAGAGGCGCACGTGGCGGCCCAGAAACGGCAGCTCCATCTGTCACGGTGTAGGCATGAGCTGCTGCCTCATTTAAGCCAAAGCCCTGAGCAGACCCTTGAGTCCTCCTTAGCTTGTGGACAGGTGGATCACAGGAGTGGGCCACAGCTGGGCTGCATGGACGGGGTGCAGCAGGCTCCCACTTTCAGACTGTCGAGTGCCCATGAAAGCAGTGGGGAGCTGGAGAAGGAGCGGGACAGCCCCCTCTGCAGGGGACATCTCGCTTCCCGGCGGGGGCGGCAGAATTCTCCGGAGACACAGAACAGTGGGATGATCGTAGGCATGGAGAGGGGTTCAGGATGAGGGCCTGGTTCACACAGTGACAGAGGCCGGCGAGTTCCAGGCTCTGCCGTTGGGAAGCTGGAGCCCCAGGAGGGCCCATGCTGTGGCTCCAGTCCGGAGGCTGGCGGGCTGTAGTCCCAGAAGAGCCAACGTTCACTCCCAGTCTGAAGGCAGGGAAGGGTTGGCATCTGGGTGCAGGCAGTCAGGTCAGAGGGGCTACCTCTTACTCCGTCCTTTTGAGCAAATCAAGTCTGCAACTGATTGGATGAGACCCACCCACACCCAAGGAGGGCCGTCTGCTTTACGCAGCCCCTGATCCACGTGTTGGTCTCACTCAGACACACCCCACAGACACATACTGAAGAACACTTGGCCAAACCCCAGGTGCCCTGCGGCCCAGTTCAGTTGGCCCGTGAGATGAGCCAGGGCTCCAGCTGTGGGTTTGGACTCCAGCCTGCCTCGGCGGCTTCCCACCCGCTGGGTGCACTGCCTGCCTTTCTGCCCTGGTCCTCTGCAAATTCACCCTCTAACTGTATCAGGGACCCAGCAGGAAGTCAAAGGTACACTCACGTGGGGCATATTTAGTGGGAGTGGCATAAAGGGATTATACACAAAGGTGAGCGTGAGTGTTAGAAAAAAGTCCCATGAGGGGCTGCAGTATCCGGGGGTGTCCCAGGGCAGCTGCTACCACACCTTTGCCTGAAAGAGCAGTGGATGGTTATCAGTTCCCAGGGAGGGCTGTCGCCCAGGCACTGTGGCCTTCAGAGGAGGGACCCAGCAGGGAGGGAGCTGGGACGTCAGCAAGCCCTTCTCCTCCCCTCCCTGGGTCTCCTTCTGGAGCCCTATGGGCAGAACCTGATGGGCGACCCGAGAAAGAGAAGCCCAGGGCAGACATCACGAGGAAGGCGGGGGCTCCTGCAGGCCACAGGCAACCGCCAGCCCACCTGTGTGGGGCTTCTCCTCACTGCTGGCAAAGGGAATACTTCCACATCTGTGGGCTCTACTTTGACCTCTCCATCCTGCACCCAGCCCCAGCAGGCCTCAGAAAATCCCCCCAAAGACAAAAGTTGGCCTTGGCTCCCACTGGTCTGCTGTGGGGCCATAAGGTTACAGAGCTCGCATGGTCCTCAGGATCCTTCCCTTTGGTCCACTTCCCATTTTACAGATGAGAAAACTGAGGCCTGGGACCAGCAAGTGATGGCATTTGCGAAATGCCCAGTGTACACTAAGCACTATGGCATGGGCGTTATGGGTGTTAACTCATGTTGTCCTCAGCACCATCCCCAGGGAGGTACCACTATTATCCTTCTGATGAAGAAACTGAGGCACAACGAGAAGCAGTCATCTCCCAAGGTCACACATGCTGGAAGAGCCAGGCCTAGAACCCAGGGGTCCTGATGCCAGACCAGGCCCTTCCCTGAACTCTGGGCTGCTCCCAGTGTCCACACCCCAGCACTTCACACCCTGGGGCCACTGTGCACCTGTCCTAATCCACCCTGAGCCAGATACCAGACATCAACGGACAGCCCCTATGCCCAGGAGCCCATCCGTAGGGAGTCCACCATCTAATCCAAGTCTCCCCACAGTCCTAAGAGATGTCTGGGATAGATGTGAGCCCATTTTACAGACTGGGAAACTGAGTGTCCTGGAGCTCATTGGAGCAAAGCTAGGATAAGGAGGAATGTGTTTCTGTGCCCGTGGTCTGGCTCTCTCTTGGGTGGTCCGGGGAAACAAGTGCCTCTTGCAGGTGGGACTCATGTTGCCTGAGTAGTTAAGGAGAAGCCCACCTCCTCCTCATCTGTGGGCCTGGCTGCCAGGGGTGGCTGATGTTTCTCCCTAGGTGCTGTTTGAGACTTTCAACATACCTGCCCTGTATTTAGCTAACCAAGGAGTCCTTTCTCTGTACGCCTCTGGCCAGACCTCTGGTGAGTGGCCCTGTGGGAGCCCCCCACACCCTCCCCATCCCTCTGGCTGAGACGCTCACCACTCTGCACAGCCCACTCTCCCTGACCGGTAATGAAAAACAAAGACCCACACAGCTCGCGCTCTCCAGCCCCTTTCATCCCTCCTGGTTAAACGATTCACTCCCAGGTTTTAACAGTTTGCTCACTTTTTTTTCTTAATAGCTTTCTTGAGGTGTAATTGATATACAATAAACTGCACATGTTTAAAGTTTTTTTAATTTGCTAAGTTTTGACACATGGGTCCAGTCTTGAAGCTTTCAGAACCAGATAATGAACGTATCTGTCACCCCAATCCCTTCCCTGGCACCGCACACTCTGCCCCTCCAGTCTGTCCCCAGACAGCCACCAGCTGCCTTGGGGTTTGCATTTTTTAGAATTTTGTGTGAATGGACCGGGAGGGCGGCACTCTTTTTTGGGATTCTTTTTTTTTTTTTTTTTTTCCACGCAGCATAATTACTTGAAGATTTATCCTTGTGTGTGGGTTGAGAGTTCATGTCTTCCCATTGCTGGATAGTAGCCCATCATATGAATACATTGTACTTTATCCACTTGTGAATGAATGTTTGAGTAGTCAGTTTGGGGCTATTGTAAATAAAGCTGCTATGGGCCGGGCGCGGTGGCTCACGCCTGTAATCCCAGCACTTCGGGAGGCCGAGGCAGGTGGATCACGAGGTCAGGAGATCAAGACCATCCTGGCTAACACGGTGAAACCCCATCTCTACTAAAAATACAAAAAATTAGCCAGGCGTGGTGGCGGGCGCCTGTAGTCCCAGCTACTCGGGAGGCTGAGGCAGGAGAATGGCGTGAACCCGGGAGGCGGAGCTTGCAGTGAGCCGAGATCGCACCACTGCACTCCAGCCTGGGCGACAGAGCGAGACTCTGTCTCAGGAAAAAAAAAAAAAAAAAAAAAAAGCTACTATTTGTGTACAGTACAAACACTGTACAAGTATTATTTGTCAATTAAAACAATAAAAGGAAAAAAATCCTGGTATAATTTTTCCTCTTTTACCTTTTGGACCACTACTGTGAAACCTGCCTATGTGGTGTCATAAGAAAACTTGTGGGCTGCTGTCCAAAACAACCAGTCCTTTTCTTCCTCCTTGGGCGCTTCCCTTTGGGGGAAGAAAGCTGGCTCCTGAGAATCTTTGTCTTCTCCTCCATTGGCTCCCCTCTGCCTTCTCTCCCTGCAGATACAACAATTATAAGGGATGTCATTGGCCCTTCATTATGATGCCAGCATGTTCTCTTGTCTAGGCTTGACTGTTGAATCTGGAGAAGGAATGACACACTTTGTGCCCATCGCTGATGGCTGCCCTTTGCATCTGTCAACCTTCCAGCTGGACATAGCGGGCCAGGACCTAACCTTGCACCTCCTGCAACTGTTGAAAGACAATGGGCAATTATTGTTGGGCACAGGTAGGAAACTGCTATTCTTGGCTGGGTAAACTAGTCTCTGGGGTGTAATAGCCTTCTTTGCTAGCTCATCCTATGGCCCTCAGTATGTAAAGCTAAGACTTCATGACCATCATTGAAGTTCTAAAAAACAACCTTATCTATATTTAGGGACATTTAGTGGATTGATGATGATGATAAGGGCAATGATAATGATGATAATGATTATGGTGGTGGTGATGATGGTGATAGTGATGGTGATGATGGTGATGCTGATGATGGTGATGGTGATGGTCATATGATGATTGATGGTGATAATGGTGATGGTGGTGATGGTGATGATGGTGATGGTCATATAGTGATTGGTGGTGATGGCGATGATGATGGTGGTGATGGTGGTAACGATGACGGTGATGGTGACGATGACGGTGACAGTAATGGTAACAATGATTGTGATGATGGTGGTGGTAGTAATGATGGTGATGATAGTTATGATTGACAGTTGTTATGATGATGGTGAGCTAAGCTTTATAGAGAATTTATCCTGTGCAAAGCACTGGGCCAAGTAAACATTTTACATGCATTTTCTCATTGCTTCTCACTGTAACCCCATGAGAGGGAACAATTATTTCCATTACAAGAGGACAATGCAGCTGGGTGCAATGTCTCATGTCTATAATCCCAGCAATTTGGGAGGCTGGGGTGGGAGGACCACTTGAGTCTAGGAGTTTGCGATCAGCCTGGGCAACATGGCAAGACCCAGTCTCTACACAAAAATTAAAAAATTAGCAGGGTGTGGTGATAAGCAACCTGTAGTCCCAGCTACTTAGGAGGCTGAGGCAAGAGGACTACTTGAACCCGGAAGTTAGAGGTTATAGTGAGCTATGATGGCACTACTGCATGCCAGCCTGAGTAACAGAGTAAAGCAACATCCTGTTTCTTAAAAAAAAAAAGGAAGAGGCTTAGGAAGGTTATTAGAAGATTTGCCCAACACTCCATAAATGATAAATGGCATAGCAGCTGGGATATGAACCCGAGGCTCCAGGCAAGGTGTCTGTCCCTCTCTACACCAGTTCCTGGACTGGATTCCCAGCCTGTATAACCTGCATGACACTCATTCCCAGTGAGCCTACAATCCTGCATCTCAGGGTCTTCCTTGCGGACCAAGAGGTCTGTGTCAAAAGTGATGCAAAGCATGGAACCCTAAAGAATAACAGCAGTTAGAGGGAAAGTGAGAAGGATTGCAGGGCAAAGTCATACCATGTTATTGACGCCTCACACTTGGTGAGCTCTTGGTGAGCATCGTTGCCTCTCGTCCTTCCAACAGTCCTGCGAGTGACCATTAATCCCATTCTTGCAGATAAGGAAAGGGAAGGTTTAAGAGGTTGATGAAGTTGCCTAAAGCCAGGCATTGGGTCAATGGCAGAGATGGGATTCGAAGCCAAATTTGCCTCACCAAAGCCCCAACTACATGAAGAAAGGAACAAATATTAGGAGAGTGCAGCATCCCAGGAGCTGAGGAAAGAGAAGGGAGTTATTAACAGCCTCAGCTGCTGAGGAAAAGAGGGCAGGAAAGAATCAAAGCGTGTCCTCAGGTTTTTGGACCTAGGAGTACAGAACAGACCCAGGCAAGAGCAGGTTAGGTGGAGCGAGTGAAGGTAGAAGGCAGACGTCAGGGGGCTGAAGAGCAAGTGACATTTCCAGGTGGGTGGTGCAGAGTTCCCCTGATCCAACTCAAAAGCAGTGATAGACAAAGCATAAAACCATAACACAAGAAGACGCAGCTGGGTTTAAAACCTGTCGTCCGCCATCCAAAAAGAGAAGGAATGTATGTAAGCTTCCAGATATTTCTGGGTGCGGACTTTGATCCACTGTGGGCAATTCTCCAGAGAAGAAGAGGGCAGCTGTGAGCAGGTGGCAGCTGGGGGATGGGGCACCAACAGCACCACTCATAGCAGTAGATAAGAAAGTTGGGTTTGGTTTTCCAGCTCCTCCCACCCTCTCCCAAACATACACCATATATAGAAGGGTCTCAACTTCTCAAAAGCTGAAATTTCCTAACCCCTTTCATCTTAGTTCAAGACATACCTATTCTACACTTCCACAAACTCAGGCTCAACACGCGGCACGAACAAGAGCACCTGGGGTGTGAGATGGAAATGGAAATGGCAGCTCCAGTGGTGCAGCCTCAACCTCACCAAAGGCGCTTCTGTGAACTCATCTCCTTTTCATGCCTTTTTCTGTTTGGCACTTTTCCTTTGTCCCACAGGGGATCGAGAGTACATCCGGGACATGAAGGAGAAATGCTGCTATGTGGCTTTGGACTTTGACAAGGAAAAGAAGAAAACCGATTCACCTTCCCACCATCAGAAATATCAGCTGCCTGACGGCCAAGAGATCACCGTTGGGCAGGAGAGCTTCTTCTGCCCCGAGGCGCTCTTCCAGACAAAACTCATAGGTGAATTGCTAAATGCAGTGTCATTTAGAAATTAGCCTGGACATGAGCAAGTAAGCACCCTGTAAGAAAGAAGGGGCCGGGCGTGGTGGCTCACGCCTGTAATCCCAGCACTTTGGGAAGCTGAGGTGGGTGGATCACCTGAGCTCAGGAGTTTGAGACAAGCCTGGTCAACATGGTGAAACCCCATCTCTACTGAAAATACAAAAATTAGCCAGGCAGGGTGGCACATTGCCTGTAGTCCCAGCTACTCTGGAGGCTGAGGCAGGGGAATCGCTTGAACCTGGGAGGTGGGGGTTGCAGTGAGCTGAGATCACACCGCTGCACTCCAGCCTGGGTGACAGAGTGAGACTCCATCTGAAAAAAGAAAGAAAGAAAAGAAAGAAGGGAGGGAGGGAAGGTGGGAGGGAGGAAGGGAGGAAGGGAGGAAGGGAGGAAGGGAGGAAGGGAGGAAGGGAGGAAGGGAGGAAGGGAGGAAGGGAGGAAGGGAGGAAGGAAGGAAGGAAGGAAGGAAGGAAGGAAGGAAGGAAGGAAGGACGAACGAACGAACTAGGGCTGCCAGGAGGGAGTCTGGTTTGAGTAGCAAACAAGCACATTGTTTCAAAAGCTCCTCCGACTCCAGCTAACACTTACAGTCTGCCTGTCACTTCGCTGACAATCGCATGTGTTATATCCTTGAATCTACCCCCAAATCTGCCTCTATAAAATTATCCCAATTTACAGAGAAGGAAACTCACCGAAGAGGCCTTCTCTTTAATAATGTACTATTTATATTCTGCCTACTCACAAAATAATCTGAAATATAAAAATCAAGACAATTTAAGACAGACATATAATCACCCTGGATTTGGAGGGAGCTTTTTACAAATGTGGCTGATCTAGAGACTTTGAGTGAGCATGGAGCTGCCTAAATGCTCCGGCCAGTACATTTGTCCTGGTGGAACAGCAAAAACGATGGAGGGTGAAATCCCTACTGATGGGAAAGATGGAATCTCCCGGGTCGACATGGAAAAGCACGTGTTCCCCAGAGTCCAATTCTTCGTTACCTTCATAAAGGACAAAGGGGAATTAAAGGTGGGGAAGTAACCATTTCCCCGGGATGAGGACCCAGTGAGTACCTGGCACTTAGAATCCCCTGTAAGTTAGTTGGTTTGTCTCTGTGTTCCCCTGTTAGACTGTGCAGGGGATGGCGTGGTCACGTGCCCCACCAATGTGACGTGGAGAAGCAATTGAGATTCTTCACCCACCGTGGGGAGGTTCTCCCCGGGGTCTGGCTGGGTCCCCATGAACGGGAGCACCACCCCAGAACGGTGAAGCTAGCAGGGCCTTCCTGCCTGGCCCCTCTTAAATGCCCCCTGAGATTAATCTTTTTTCATAGGTCCAAGGTTATTCGGCAGCTTTTCCTCCCAGGCAAGGGACATGAGGCATGGACGGCACCACCTAGCCCTCCCAGGGGCTCACAATATTGAACAAAAAATATCAGGTTGGTGCAAAAATAATCGATTACATTTGCACCAACCTAGTAATACAGGGCACACATCTCTTCAGGGCGGTTCCCGTTATATTTGAGTTTATTCATGTGGCCAAATGATGAGCCAAGAAAGGAGGGATCAGTGTCATTTCTCAAAGGCTGCCAGAAGGAGGATGCTGCCTCGACAGGAATCTTTTTATACACTTGATACCAGAGCGTTACATATTAATAACTGTCAGTAACAGTTGAATATAAATTTTCCTGGAGGAGAGCGGAGAATTGCTATGTATTTCCTCAACCAGGAGCAGCTGAGTCCTGTCGTCTGGCCGGGTGGCTCCCTGCATTCCCTGGTGGGAGTCCAGCTAAGCTAAGGTTTGCCGGCCACACTGGGAGCTAACTAAGGCTCAGGGAGGTTTCCAGCACCCAAGGCCTTCCGCTGGGAGGCAGGGGCCCAGGTGCACAGCTGCCGAGCCTCTGGCTTCCAACATTCTTTCTCCCTCTGCCTGTCTTGACAGGGAGAGACGCCCCTGGCATCCACACGATGGCCATCCAGAGCATCACTTCCTGCAGCGCCGACCTCCAGAACGTCCTCTTCGGCCACATGCTGCTGTCGGGAGGGACGGGCTCCTGCCCCGGCTTGAGATTCCGGATGCAGAGAGAAATATCTGAGCTGGTATCCCCTACAGTTCATGTGAAGGTGAGGCTTCCCCAACCCATCCCCTCTGGGAGCGCCTCCAATTCATTCCACAGATGTATCTGGAATGCCTCAGATATGCTGGGCATGGCTCCTGGCACCTGGGAAGTCCTTGGAGCTTTCACTCTAGTTGGCGGAGGTGGGGGAGGCAGGAAACGTCGTGAATAAACATGAAGGGGACATGAGTGGCATGTCAGGAAAATGCAGCAAAGGACGGGGTGGGAGGGAGTGCGGGCAGGGCCGGGGTGCTGAATACAGGGTGGGCCAGAGTGGGCCTCCTTAAGAAGGGGACACTGGGTAAGCACTTGAGGTAAGGGTGAGCCATGTGGGTATCGGGAACAGCGTTCAGCCAGGGGGGATCAGCCCATGCAGCAGCTCAGAGGCTTGCTTCCTGGAGGAAGGGCAAGGAAGGGTTGGCCGGGGCCGAGTGAGCAAAGGCAATGGGAAAGCGAGGTCAGAGATGCCGCAGAAGGACATCCACTCCAAGAGGGGCTGGAAACCCCCTGGCGGGTTCAGCCGAGGAGAGACATTGTCCAAGTAGGCTCTGGAGAACTGATCGGGCTCCTGTGCAGAGAGTAGACATCATAGGGACACAAGGTCCCTTTGATGGACAGTCAGGACATTAGGACTGTTGGGATGTCGGGACTATCAGGGCATTGAAACTGTTGGAATGTTGGGACTGCCAGGATTTGGGGACTGCTGAGACGTCAGGACTGTCAGGATGTCGGGACTGTTGGGATGTTGGGACTATTGGAATGTTGGGACTGTTGGGATGTTGGGACTGTTGGGATGTTGGGACTGTTGGAATGTCGGGACTGTTGGGATGTCGGGACTGTTGGGATGTCGGGACTGTTGGGATGTTGGGACTGTTGGGATGTTGGGACTATTGGAATGTTGGGACTACTGGAATGTTGGGACTGTTGGGATGTTGGGACTGTTGGAATGTTGGGACTATTGGAATGTTGGGACTGTCGGGATGTTGGGAATGTTGGGATGCTGGGACTGTCAGGATGTTGGGAATGTTGGGATGTGGGACTGTCAGGATGTCGGGACTGCAGGGATGTGGGACATACCTGGCCTGGCTGGGGCAGGAGGGGCAAGGTCACTCAGTCACTTCCAGCTGGGCTCAGCAGCTGCCCCATGAATGCAGCCTCCTTTGGTTAAATGAAAGCACTCTTCCCCCGTGGGTGCCCCACCCAGGGTTGTCCCCAGTGGACACTTTCTCTGGCTTCCTTTGTGTCTGCGTCTGGCCTCACAGCCTCTGCTGTGGGGTCTCTGGGAGCTGTCACTGCAAGGCGTCCCTGTCGAGCTGGCCCTGAATCCTTTCCATCTCACCAGCTGGCCCTGGAGCTGGCTGCAAATCCCACTGGCCAACTGTAGGGAACTCTGTGATGGGGTCTCCTGCAGGTGCACAAGAGACTTTCACCAGAGCAATACCCCCACCCAACTTGTGCCTGTCATCAGGGTTCATGGCCACCCTTTGTATGCTCTGTGGGGGCGGGGCAGGGGCGGGATCTTCCAGACACCAGGGTGGGCAGGGGCGTGAGTGGCCATCTCAGCACTTCTTGTCCTCCCTAGACCTATCTTACTGCCTTTGTCCCCTCTGCTGCAGCCGCCAGCTTTGAAACAGGACACTGCAAGGTGACTTCCTCCAGAGTCTGCAGGCAGGAGGCATGGACTTACTCCCTTTTGCCCACAGCCCCCCAAACTTTTCTGGAGGATTCTATCACCCTATCACCCATTGCCCTCACCCCCAACCCTAGGGGCCTCAGGTCTGGTTGCAGGCAGATGCACTGAGAGGGAAGGGTCTGGCACGTGTCCTCAGAGCATCTTTGGCTGCTTCTGAGACTCTCCTTGTCCATCTGATGGTGTTCCCTGCACCCTTCCTGTCCTTGCTCTGTAGACCAGGGTGAGATTTGAAAGAGAATGCACAGCAGTGATGCCTGTCCCAGGTAGTCCCCATCCTTCCTCCATAGCAACAGAGAAGCATCAGGAATTACAAATGCATCAGCCAGGATTACACAAAAATATCTTCCCACTGCCTTGTCACTTCCCAAGTCTTCAGCCCTCTTCCTATAGGCCATAAACATTCATGGGATGCTGTAAAACTGTTATTGGTTTCCTTCCTCCCTAAGTCTGCAGCTCTCGTTAGACCATCTTATGTTATATCATAGGCATTTATATTCTGTTAAAACCATCACCCCTCCCACCTTCTCACTCCAAAGCCCTAGGCTCTCACTTCATAGCCTCCTTCTGGTCTCCCTCCTCTCAGCTTTCTGGACCACTCCAGGCTCGTGTGTAATTAACTTTGACTGAATCAGAACAGAAGGCTACTGCTTAGCCCAGCGTGGAAAACACATTAAAATTGAATGTCATACTTTTGTAACTTTCTTTTTTTCTCTTTCCTTTTTTTTTTGAAAATAAGACAAGGTCTCACTGTCACCCAGGCTGGAGTACAGTGGCACGGTCACGGCTCACTGCAGGCTCAGGTGACCTCCCACTCAGCCTCCCAAGTTGCTGGGACTACAGGCGTGTGCCTCCACGCCCGGCTCATTTTTTTGGTTCAGGTCTTGGACTCTGGGCTCAAGTGATCCACTTACCTCATCCTCCCACAGTGCTGTTATTGTAAGTGTGAGCCACCACGCCTGGCATACATTCATAGGTTTCTTGACCACGTTTGCAAAGGGGATCTTTGGGCCATCTCTGTCCTGCCAGCAGGTGGCTGGGCTGCATTTGGTCCAAGCCCTTTCATCTTTCTGAGTCCTCAAGGTGTCCTCCACAGCCTCCTCCCGCCCAAAACTCTCCATGAAGCTTGATGATGACATCGCCCATTTCCCATTACTTGGCTGTGATTTAGCTCTTCTCTGCCTAATTTCTCTCCTGTCTGAGCCATCTCTGAAAGAGGTACCATGGTAGCTTCTCCTGTAATCATCCATAAAGCTCCTCATATTGTTGCCTAAAGAAAATGCTCTCCCTGAAATGAGCTCATCATCCACCTTGAGAGAACAGCTAGTTTCCATGGGGCCAACTTTTCAAATAATTGTTTCTCCCAGCAACCTAAATCTGCTGTCATGAATGTTCTCGAGCTAAAACTCTGTCCAATATTTCCCCTCATTTCTTCAGAATGTTGTCATACCCTTAGATCCATTTCTAGATGTGGATTTTGGAGTCACAATCATGCACAATTCGAGGTTTTTTGAATGGATGACCCAATTGCCCACAGAAACACTGAGCCTCCCATCTGTCCTGGCGAGGGCTGAGCCAGCTCTGGACCACGTCCACGCCAGCACAAGGTCCTTTGTTCTCAAAACCCCTGGGCACCTGGGTAGATGGAGAAGAAATGTTTGTTGTTCTTTTCTCTGTTTTTTTTTTTTTTTTTAATTTTTTAAAACATATTTCTCGTAATTGTTCAATCCAATCCTTTGGCCATCTTCTGTTAGTGATTTGCTATCTTCTTCTTTTCTTTCCTTTTTATTTATTTATTTTTTTGAGACAGAGTCTCACTCTGCTGCCCAGGCTGGAGTACAGTGGTGCAATCTCAGCTCACTGCAACCTCCGCCTCCCAGTTCAAGCGATTCTCCCTGCTTCACCCTCCGGAGTTGCAAGGATTACAGGCGCCCACCACCACGCCCAGCTAATCTTTGTGTTTTTAGCAGAGATAGAGTTTCGCCATGTTGGCCAGGCTGGTCTAGAACCCCTGACCTCAGGTGATCCACCTGCCTCAGCCTCCCAAAGTGTTGGGATTATAGGCATGAGCCACTGATCAATTTACTTTCTTCTTAACACACACACCATCCCAGTCTCCATTTGGTTTAGATAAGACACAGATGAGGTCACCAACTGATCAAGGTGACATCCCCTCCGTGGAATCTGTGGAAGAGGCTCCCGGGTGCCTGGCATCAGCCCTTTCTCTGCCTGATGCCCTGATCCTAACCATGCTTTTTTTTCCCCCCTCCTGACTCTTCCTTTTTATTTTTATTTTTTTAGCTATGATAAATCTTTTCTTAACCAATGCCAGCAAGTGGTTTCCAAGCCAAGAGCCATTCTGTGGTGCGGCAGAGCCAGGAGACACTGGGCAGCTGAGTCGGGGAACCCCTCTTCCCTCCCTCTCGTCTACTCCTCGGGTTTCCCAAATCTCCGTTCAGCGCTTCCTGACTGCGGATCCCCGCAGCGAGGCATTTGCTCCCTGTGTCTTAGAATCCTAAGCATGTCCTGTTATTATCTACCTAAGTGACTTAAGGAAAGTTAGTGAACATGTGAAATGACAAGTGTCTGACCTGGAGCAAGTGACCTTAACCTTCCTGAGCCCCAGGGGCCTCTGTTTAGTTATTATTAATTAATTAATTTATTTATTTATTTTGAGATGGAGTTTCACTCTTGTCACCTAGGCTGGAGTGCAATGGTGCCATCTCGGCTCATTGCAACCTCCACCTCCAGGCTCAAGCCATTCTCCTACCTCAGCCTCCCAAGTAGCTGGGACTACAAGCACGCACCACCATGCCTGGCTAATTTTTTGTATTTTTAGTAGAGACGGGGTTTCACCATGTTGGCCAGGATGGTCTCAAACTCCCGACCTCAGGTGATCTGCCCACCTCAGCTTCCCAAAGTGCTGGGATTACAGGTGTGAGCCACCATGCCTGGCCTTTATTTTCATTTTTTGAGACACTTCTCACTCTGTTGCCCAGGCTGGAGTACAGTGGCACAATCACAGTTCACTGTAGCCTTGACCTCCCAGGATCAAGCAATCCTCCAGCCTCAGCCTCTCAAGAAGCTGGGTCCATGGGTGCACACCACCATGCCTAGCCCCCTGCATCAGGCAGAGAAAGGGCCAACACCAGGCACCCGGGAGCCTCTTCCACTGAAGGGCTGTCACCTGGATCAGTGACAAATGGCTGTAGAGACCTTCACTTCCTCCCAGTCCAGAGGTGACCTGACTGGGTATAAGAAACATTACTCTCTCTCCTAAAACAGAAATGGAAAGAAATATACACTTTATAGGTGTTGCCATGAAAAGAGGAGCCTAGCAAGAGTGAGAGGAAGTCTTGAAAGCTCCCCATCGCAATCTAGAAGGAATTTCTCTAGGGGGTTCGATGACTGGTGATGGGTTGATTTTGCTTATCTGTATTTTCCAATTTTTTCTACAAAATACCTATGCTTTAGGCACCGTCATTCTATATGGACAAAATGTGTTACATGTTTTAAAATGCCAAGGGCACGAGTCCTCTGTGCTCTTTTTCATTTTATCTAATAGTTTAAAGCTACAGGCCGGGCATGGTGGCTCACACCTGTAATCTCAGCATTTTGGGAGGCCGAGGCAGGAGGATCACTTAAGGCCATGAATTTGAGGCCAGCATGGGCAACATAGCAAGACCTCATCTCTACAAAAAAAAAAAATGAAAATATTAGCCAGGCATGGTACTGTGCACCTGTGGACCCAGCTACTTGGGAGGCTGAGGCTGGAAGATTGCTTGATCCTGGGAGGTCAAGGTTGCAGTGAACTGTGATTGTGCTACTGTACTCCAACCTGGGCAACAGAGCGAGACCCTGTCTCAAATAAAAATAAAAAATAAAGCTACAGGAAGTAGGCATGGACTGTTCGATATCTTTAATGGCAAATCGTAGATTGTATTTGCCAGGAGAGAGAGACGACTGTCCATGAAGTTCTCTCAGGGGCGGACGTTTTGTGTCCCCACTTTAGAGTAGCATTTTGATTTTGCTTTCTTCTCTTTTCTCCTGCCCTCTCCCTACCTCCCCTTCCCTCCTCTGCCCTCCACTCTCCTCTGCCTCCTTAACCCCATCCAGGTGGCCACCTGTCCGTATTCCGTCTATGGAGCTTGGGTAGGTGGCTCCATCTTGTGCTCACTCTCCACGTTCAAGGACATGTGGGTCACCAGCAAGGAGTACAAGGAGATGGGCTCTTCCATCGTCAGTAGAAAAAGCTTCTGATATATGGCTTTCAGGTGCCTTCGACACCAACTGCAGGATGAGCCTTGTTGTGGCTGAATTGATCAGAGCTCAGAACCAGCTCAAGGGCAAAGGCACTTCCTCCCCCAGACTTCAATAAAGAATGTCAATAAAGGATGGACTCTGTCTTTTTGTCTAGGCTGGGCTGGCAGCAGCACAGGACACTCACTAGGCAGTGTCACAGGACACCAGCTGCATGAATGCAGAGTAGTTGAGGTGAGGGAAATCCTGGCTCTTCCTGTGTTATCAGTCAGGATGGTGACACTGTGCTGCAGTAACAAGCATCCCCCAAATCTCAGTGCCATGAAACAAAAGTCAGTATCTCACTCATGCATGTCCACTGAAGGTCAACAGGGGCTGCCTCCTACATCATCCTCACTCAGAATCCAGTGACACAGCAGAGCATCAGAGACATTGTCATTCATTGTGGATGAGCAGAAGAGTGTGCTGCTGGGTCTTACATTGGTAACTAAATCCATCAATTCAGAAAAATCACAGGGTACACAGTCATGATTAATTAACCACAACAAGTCACGTGGCCCTACCCAACCACAAGAGGCAGGAAGTGTCATCCTACCACAGGCCTGATGTACCCACATGAGCAGAACAGCATGGATGCTCTTGCCTCGTGAAGGCACGATTGGGGCAGTACCCATAGCACTCACCATGCAAGGGGCATTACATCCGCTGATGAACTTAATCCTCATGGCGTCGCTGTGAGGTTGGTTTCATTAAAGTTGATTTCATGAAGCAGAAACTGGTGCTAAGAGGTGAATTAACTAGATCAAGATTATTTAGGTAGTAACAGGCAGTTTAAATCAGCAAATAGCATCTAGTAAGAGCGTCAGGGGAGAACAGAGAGAACTAAGGAGAGGAAGAAACCAACCAAACAAATAGAAGACATATGTTTTCAGTGTAGAGGGGCCATGGAGGGCTGCACAGACCCAAGGAAGGGTCCTGAATGCAGACACTAGTGGAATTTCAGAATATCAAAAATAATGACATTTAGAGGCTTTGAGAAAAATAAACAAATGCAGGTTAACTTAAAGTAAGGTGACTGGAAAAAAAACCCAGGTTACCCAGTTAAATTTTGAATTTCAGAAATGTAACAAATTTTTAGTATAAGCACATCCCAAATGTTGTATATTATCTCTACTTGCTAAATCTGGTACCACCATCACAAGGGAAAGTGACTCCAGTTATTATTATCAGAGTTCTTGACTCTGTTGTAAATTGTTGTAGAAGATAAGAGAAGAAAACCATCAAGTGAAGAGGAAGGATTATTTTGAACCTAACGTCTCATACCTTTTCCAATAGGTGGAAATGATAAAAAATAACGTGGGGACGGGCAAATACTCTGAAAATTTACCACCTATGTGCTCTCTCTAAAAACAGAATCAAAGATTATCTACAAGATGGATAAACCAATAAACCAAGAAAAAGAAACAGTGGTGAGTTAAGAAAGCGGACCAAACTTAGAGTTAAATCTAAATAATTATTATTATAGATTTAAAAAAAATTAATAACAGTATGGAACAAAAATCTAAGATGATCTCAAAATGAGGGGTGAGGTGATAGAGGAGGGAATGAGGCAGAAAGTGAAATTGTGGAAAATATGTGTGTTACATGGGTGTTCATTAACTCTGGAGATTGATAGGAGAGATTAAATTTAGGCATGTATGTTTCTAATTTGAGAACAGCAGGAGACTGCACACACAGACCTAGTCCACATCTTCCAGGTTCATTTACTGTCCTCAGCATGTATTGTTGGCCTGTACAGTCCTCCCCCAACCCTCTACCTGGCCCAGGTGATTTGGGTAGGCGAAAGATACAGTTCTGGCAGCTCTGGCTGTATTTAAAAGTAACATTTTAATCAATGGGTTGTAATTTCAGACGTCAAACATTGGGATTGTTTTCCTTCCGTTATCAGATAGTTCTAACTTTTTTCTGGCCTGAGAACAAGGATTTTTATTCCAATACATTTGGAAAAGTTGGTTGCTTGCCATTGTCTTTACATTGGCAACATGGTATGATGCAGCCAGCAAGCAGAGGCACCCATGGATCTGCAGGCTGAAAACCATGCAGACATGTAGCTTCTGGAGGTATAGTCTCACCCTGGGTGGGTATTGGTCCATTCTCACACTGCTATTAAGAACTTCCCTGAGACTGGGTAATTTATAACAGAAAGAGGTTTAATTGAATCATAGTTCCACATGTCTGGGGAGGCCTCAGGAAACTTATAATCATGACAGAAGGACAACTAGGCACCTTCTTCACAAGGTGGCAGGAGAGAGAGCATGTGAAGGCGGAATGGTCAAACACTTACAGAATCATCAGATCTCATGAGAACTCTTTCACTACCATGAGAACAGCATGGGGGAAACCGCCCCCATGATCCAATCACCTCTTTCCCTTGACACTTTGGGGATTACAGGTACCTCCTTCAACACATGGGAATTACAATTCAAGATGAGATTTGGGTGGGGACACAGAGCCAATCTGTATCAGGGTGGCAGTAGTCAAATATGTAAATCAGGATTATTTTAAGGTAGTAAACCTCTAATGCTTTTATTACTGTCTTAGTCTGTTTGTGTGGCTATAAAGGAATACCTGAGACTGGGTAATTTATAAGGAAAAGAGGTTTATTTGGCTTACAGTTCTGCAGGCTGTACAAGAAGCATGACACCGGCATCTGCTGCTGGGGAGGGCCTCAGGAAGCTCCTACTCATGGAAGAAGGTGAAGGAGAGCCAGTGTGTGCCGAGATCCCATGGGGACAGAGGGGGCAATGTGCAGTGGAGGCGTCAGGCTCTTTTGAACAGCCAGCTCCAGCAGGAATAGAGTGACAATTCAGTCATTACCACAAGGATGGCATCAAACCATTCATAAGGGATCCATCCCCAGGACGCAAATACCTCCCATCAGACCACAACTCCAACATCGGGGATCAGATTTCAACATGAGATATGACAAACATCCAAACTATAGCAATTACTTATAAGCGGGCATTGAAATTTAAATTAGAGGAGCCTAATCTAAAGAGTTAATATTCTGAGTTTTGTCCTACATGCATTGAACTTTAAGTAATTTTTTAAGAATAACTTAAGGAGGCCAGGCATGGTGGCTCATGCCTGTAATCCCAGCACTATGGGAGGCTAAGGCAGGAGGATTGCTTGAGCCCAGGAATTTGAGACTAGCCTGGGAAACACAGGGCCCATCTGTACAAAAAAAATTAAAATTAGCTGAGTGTGGTGGTGCACACCTATAATCCCAGCTACTCTGAAGGTTGAGGTGGGAAGATCACTTGAGCCCAGGAATTTGAGGTGGCTGTGAGCTATGATTGTGCTACTGCACTCCAGCCTGGGTGACAAAGTGAGACCCCATCTCTAAAGAATGTTTTTTTTTGTTTTTAAAATAACTGTACTAGTCTGTTTTCACAGTGCTGTAAAGAACTACCTGAGACTTGGTAATTTATGAAGAAAAGAGGTTTAATTGACTCACAGTTCTGCAGGCTGTACAGGAAGCATGGCTGGAGGCCTCAGGAAGCTTTCAATCATGGCGGAAGGCAAAGGAGAAGCAAGTGCCTTCTTCACATGGCGGCAGGAAAGAGAATGAAAGGGGAGGTGCCACACACTTTTAAGCCATTAGGTATCATGAGAACTCACTCAGTATCATGAGAACAGCAAGGGGGAAATCCACCCCCATGATCTGATCACCTCCCACCAGGCCCCTCCTCTAACACTGGGGATTACAATTCAACATGAGATCTGGGTGAGCACACAGATCCAAACCATACCAGTAACCAATGGGAAATAAAAGCAGTGAGTGGGACATATATAAAGTGAAATTAGAAAGCAAAGTTTGAAACAAAGTAGCAGAAGAGGATATGCCAGAAAAACAAGAACAAAAATAAGTAGATGTGACATAAATAAGAATCAAAGCAAAAAAGTTAAAATGAGAGAGATTCATTTACCAAGGGGAGGTGACAACTATCAAGAATGTGTCAAATCTTTTTACCTCTTTAAGGTGCATGTCGCTTCCAAACATATCAGCAAAGGGTATAATATATAGAACATACCAGGAACTCCTTCAAGTCTGGGTGAACATGCCCAAATCAAACTCTTCCTGTGGGCCCCTCCCACAAGCACTCACCTACTGTCTCAGTACAGGGCAAGGCCACTCACTCCATTGCTCAGCCAAAATCCTGAAGGTGATTCTTGACCCTCTACTTCATGGCCCACATACAATTTTAGCAAATCTGATGGAATATACCTTCAAACTACATCCAGAATCCAGCTACCTGTCTCCAAGTGACTGCCATCCCCTGGGCAATGGCACCATTGCCTGCCTCTGGATTTTGGAGCAGCACTTCTCAGCTAAATTTCCAGTGGTGATACTAGAATCATTTAGGGGTTGTAGTAGGGTAGCGGGAGGTATTTTCCTGAGCAGTGTCTAGACAATGACTCTATGTTTATAGTGGGCAGGAGTTGGGGGTCTCAGGGCCTGAACTGAGGTGATTGAGGGGGAAAGGAGCTAAGTTCCAGGCTGCTGGACTACCATGGGCAGGGGGTTCCAGGAAAGACTAAGACCTCCCCCACCCCACCCTCCCTGACTCCAGCTGGGCATGGGGTCACCCACTCAGGAGAGCGGTGTAGTAGAGGAGAGGCCAACCTCCCTTTTCACCCCCAGGGACAGGGAGCGCTTCCCCTCCCTGAAGCCAGGGACCCTTGCACCCTCAAATCATACATGATTTGGAGGTGTCATTTTGTTTCTCTAGTTGGATGTCACTCGGAACAAAGGGTGATGGAATGTGGAGTCTCATAAGGGACCTCTGGGTCCCAGGGGAGCTGCCTGGCAAGGAGCTCTTGAGGGTGGGGGCTCAGAGAAGTCACACCTGCCCACATGCAGGCCACAGACCACAGCAGCAAGGACGACCAAGGAAAGGATGGCGTCCTCACTCTAGACAGTCAGGTGAGAAGCTGTCTTTTCTTCCTCTTTCCTCCCTACCCACATTGGAGCACCCAGTGAAGGGAAGAGGGAGAGACCCGAGATGAACAGGCACTCCAGCGCTCCTCACTCAGCTGCAGGAGTCAGGGCTGGGGCAGTAGGAGGGAAAT